CTTCAACGGCACCCCTTATAGACCCTTATATACCCTATACAACCAAGAGCCCATACTTCAGAACCCCTTTAAGGGAGGTAAGGGACCTGATGGCCCATGAAACTGGGACCATATTGAGGGCCCATGAAACTACCCGAAACGGCCCCAGGGCCTGCTAAGCCCCAAGCGCACCGAGTGTTCAGGGTGTAGGGGGGTACCCCCGACCCGGCACAAGAAGCAAGCTCAGCCGAGAACGCTGCACAGACGGAGTTCTCAGAAGTGCGGCGTCCACAGGTGCTGAAAAGATGGGTCAACCCAAAACCTGGACCTTTGTATTATTAAGTATCTATGCAGAACGAGCCGTAACAAGCCCAGCTCCAATACTATCGATGACCAGGGTTTTAGATCTTACTTTTCACAACGGCTCGAGTCTGATGCTTCAGGCAGGAGGCGAAGGCGTATGGCGCCTTCTTCACTTCTGCCCCTTCCTTCCAGAAAATGGCCGTGAGAGAAGGCGTGGGCGTGGGCGGGGGTGACAACTCGTTCAGCTTCGTGGGTCATTAACAAAGTTAGGGTTTAAAGTAGGGTTTGGGGTTTAGGGTAACAGGCCCATGGCTGGCCAACAAACCGACGAAAGTAACGTGGCTCTGTCCTTGGGTGGGCAGACGATCACGTTCTCCACGTGCCCGTACCTTGGATGTACGAGACATGGAGCCTTTACCAGATCATCCTGTAAACCCGAACCAGCCTAAGTCCGGGGTGTGGGGGGGGAGCTGGGGGGTTCAGGGATAGGGTGATCCAGGAGTGCCCAGACGATACCAAGCAGCTCGGAAGTATAGATTCCACACCTACATGGTCAGTTCTCAAAAATACAAGTTATGGTCCCTGATTGAGTACCCGAAAATATTTGGGGCCGCCTTATTATAATACGAACCCCAAAAGCACCATAATTTAGAGAAGTAGCCATATAACTCTAGACGCCAAGCGATCAGCCGAACCCTAAACCCTAAACTCTAAACTCTAAACTCCAAACCCTAAACCCTAAACCCTCGACCCTCAACGCTAAACTCTAAACCCTAAAACCCCTAAACCCATGAGCCTTCCATGAAGCGGCGCCTAGTCCCCTCAAATTCCCCAGGGCCCAGAGGGTCGGCCAATGCCCCAAGTTCACGGGGTTTAGTGTTTAAAGGTAGAAGGCTTAAAGGCAGAAGGTTTAAAGGTAGAAGGTTTAGGGTTTAGGGTTTAAAGGTAGAAGGCTTAAAGGCAGAAGGTTTAAAGGTAGAAGTTTAGGGTTTAGGGTTTAAAGGTAGAAGGCTTAAAGGCAGAAGGTTTCTCGGTAGAAGGTTTGGGGTTTAGGGTTTAGGATTTAGAGTTTAGGGTTTAGCGTCTGAATGCGTGCAGATTCCTTGGAAGGTATTGGGCTTCGGCTCTCCGCGTAAACCCTCACCCCGTGAACCTTAAAGCCTTTGAGCCCTAAACCCTGTAGGGGTTTAGGCTTTAGGGCTTAGGGCTTAGGGTGAACCCTGTACACATAGTTGCTAAAGCTGTAAACCCTTAAAGCCCAAAACGCTCAAGCCCTAAACCGCCCTGAAACCTTAAACCCAAACCTGAAGCATCTATAAACCCTAAAACTCCAAATCTATAAACCGCATAAGTCCGGCAAAGCCAAAAGCAACAAAGACCCGACACACCCTAGACCAAAGACCCTTTTTAAAGCCTTTAACAAAGACCAATTGAAAGACCCTGAACCCTGAACCCTGAACCCTGAACCCTAAACCCTAAACCCTAAACCCAAACCCTAAACCCTAAACCCTAACCCCCCCCCCCCCCCGAACCCTAAACAGCCCAAACCCTATACCCTAACCCCTCAACCCTCAACCCTAAACCCTAATCAAGGCCGAGCCGCTTCGAGAAGTGCTGGCCCAGCGCTTGCCTCGGTGGTGCGGCCGCGTGGGCGTTGGAGGGCCGATCTTTCGGGGCTTTAGGGGCGTTAGGGTTTAGGGTTTAGGGTTGGGGGTTTAGGGTTTGGGGTTTAGGGTTTGGGGTTTAGGGTTTGGGATTTAGGGTTTGGGGTTTAGGGTTTGGGGTGTAGGGTTTGGGGTGTAGGGTTTGGGGTGTAGGGCTCGGGATTTGAGGTTTAAGATTTCAACCCTTGCTGGGAGGTTCAGGTTTTTGGGTGAAGGGCACTGCTCAAAGCCGAAAGCCTTTTGATCTGGCGCCTCAAAATTGCATCCCAGCACCCTAAAGTTCCTGAAGCCTGAACCCGACAGAAAAAATAAACTTGCAGGCTTCCTAAACCCTAAAGCCTAAAGCCCGATAAAGTCCATAAACCCTAAACCCTAAACCCTAAACCCTAAACCCTAAACCCTAAACCCTAAACCCTAAACCCTAAACCCTAAACCCTCAACCCTCAACCCTCAACCCTAAACCCTAAACCCTAAACCCTAAACCCTAAACCCTAAACCCTAAACCCTAAACCCCAACCCCTGAACCCTAAGCCCTGAACCCTCGCTCAACCCCCAGTGCACCCACCCTGCCCTTCTTGATGGGCCTGTGGGCCTACCGGGTGACGGGGTCTCAGAGCGTACTGCGCTGCATAACCCCCAAAGGCCGTAAACACTAGTTCAAAGCCCACTTACCCGAAACCCTGGCCCTCAACCAAGACCGATGGGCCAGCTCTCTCGCTCTCTCTCTCTCTCTCTCTCTCTCTCTTGTGTCTTCGATCTTCTGTCACAGCAATGCAACAAGGGCCTGCATCATAACTGAAACCCACACAGGGGCCCGAATCTGGGGCTGCCCTACGCACCCGAGCCCATACACCCGACAACACTATTTATTTCAACAAACCCAAAAACCTGCAAGCCCTAAAGAAGCCTATAAGCCCTAAACCCTAAACCCTAAACCCTAAACCCTAAACCCTAAATCTGCCCCCACAGAACTTGCAGCCCTGTTACTCTTGCGTCTGATCTGGAAGGCCGCCGACGAATACTTTCAGGCCATTCCGGACAGCCTGGAGTTTGGGTTCACGGCTTCAGAGTTCGGTTTCACTGGGGCATGGATTTGTGGGCCCATTTTTGGCCCTAAGGGTCCATGTACCTAATTATTATATACTTGGGCCGCAAAGTCCATACATAGCAAGTACGTTAAGGCCCAAGTATCCCTATTCAGGTACATGGACCCTTAGGGAGGGTGCGCAGTGGAGGCGTCGATGAAAACGAGGGCGCGCAGAGCTTTCTCATTTTTTGCAGCTAAGACGAAGACATGCATGATCATGCATGTGCATCGCTGAACCTTACCCTGACCCCTAAAGCCTAAACCCTAAACCGTACAAGCTAAACCGAAAACCCTAAATCCCAAACCCTGGAAGTGTTGAGAGCTTTGGGAGCTCAACTTATACGACAGCAGCACCTAACCCCGCACACCCTGAACACTAAGCCCAGGAATCCCTACGCCTTGGAATGCCTATGAAGAGCCTTCTCCCTCATCCCAACTCATGAACCTGGAAACTTCAACCCTCTACCTCCCTAAACCCTACGCCCTAAACCCTAGCCCTAAACCCTAAACCCTAAACCCTCGAACCTCCAACTTCCCAGAGCGGGTGCCTCATCATCGTGCGGCTTCCCCATCCGCGTGCCCAGACACGCTTCGCCAGCGAGGCACAAGCGCTTCTCTAAGCTCGCTAAGCGGCAGGTTGAAGAGGAGACTTCAGAGTGCTGGATGCCCTAGAACCCTAAACCCTAAACCCTAAACCCTAAACCCTAAACCCTAAACGCTAACCCCTGCCTCACGCAAAGCCCTAAACAGAAAACCTCCCTGGCGATTTGCTCTGTGCTCGTTCGTTGGCCTGCGCTGCTGGAATCGATGCTGTCCTACGGCGTCCTACGGCTGAATCTTATCACACCCTGAACCCTAAACCCTAAACCCTAAACCCTAATCCCTAAACCCTAAACCCTAAATCCTAAACCCTAAACCCTAAACCCTAATAACCCTAAACCCTAAGCCGTAGCGTGAATGATTCTTAAGCCGAAAAACTTTCCAAGCTCAGCATGGGCATATCTGCCTTAAGCCACGGTAGGCCGAACGCCAAGCTGGTGCATCTTGACAAATCACAGGCCCCAACGCGATTTAGGGTTAAAGGTTTAGGGTTTAGGGTTTAGGGTTTAGGGCTTAGGGTTTAGGGTTTAGGGTTACACCCTGTACCTTCCTCAAGTTAATGAACACCTTCCATTCAATGGTTGTGTGAGAACATACGCAAGGTTCTGGGCATAAGTTTGCTACAGGCTCATGTGCCTACAGTAGACCAACAGATCTCCGCGCTTTGGAGGACAAAACTCTGGCTTTGAAGGCCACCGTATGATACAGCCATGCCAGCACAGCCACCCACTGCAAGAATGCCCGAACTGTTTCTTCTTGTTATGATTATGAAATTGCGAGACCCAGGAGGAACCTAGGAATGAAAAGGGTGTCCTTGTGCGTTAAAGGTGGTTAAACTCAAACCTTTAAAAAAGGGAATGGGTCCTAGATACTATGATTCTTGATATTGGTAGGGCTTGTTTCGAGTCGTTTTGTCGCCCCAATACAGCCCAAAGCAGGAACTGCAATTTGGGGTCTGGGCAACCCTGCTCTTCGAAAACCCCTACTACCCTCTACTACCCTCTACTAGGCCCTAAGCGGCCACAAGTCGGGGCCTTGCAGCCCCTCTAAAGAGCTGTTCCCTAAACCCTAAACCCTAACCCTAAACCCTAGACCCTAGACCCTAAACCCTAAACCCTAAACCCCAAACCCTAAACCCTAAACCTTAAACCCTAAACCCTGAACCTAAACCCTAAACCCTTAAACCCTAAACCTTAAACCCTAAACCCTAAACCCTAAACCCTAAACCCTAAACCCTGAACCCTGAACCCTGAACCCTGAACCCTGAACCCTGAACCCTGAACCCTGAACCCTGAACCCTGAACCCTAACCCTAAACCCAAACCCTAAACCCTCAACCCTCAACCCTCAAAGCTCAGCCGGCGCGACCTCCTTGAGTATCCGCACCTGGCCTTCGGCGTGGTTGGCCAGGGCCTAGGTGACAGAACTTGCTGTTGGTTAGACGGGTCAGTAGGGAATGAGAGTTTATAGGGTTTAGGGTTCAGGGTTTAGGGTTTGTTTGGGCCGCCTCAAAGGAACCCTCAAAAGGCCATACAGACAACAAACATTCACACAGCTGCACTGTCTGAACTCGGAGACAGCTGCTGATTGCTTTCCATAAGCCATAAACGAAGCTGTCGATACCATGCCCACAATGAGGAAATCCAAACATTGCTTTTGCCAGCGCCGTACATCGAATCAATAGCCAACTTTGGGGGTCGAACGTTTTCTACTCGCCCGGAATGATGCGACCGGGCCCCGCAGGAATCCAACCGAGGGCTCGGGTTGTGAAGGGTTTAGGGCTTATAGGGTTTGGGGTTTAGGGTGTAGGGTTTAGGGTTGAGGGTTTAGGGTTTAGGGTTTAGGGTTTGGGGTTTAGGGTTTCGGGTTTAGGGCTTAGGGTTTAGGGATTCAGGGTTCAGGGGATGCCCTTCTGCTGGCCGAGACAGATCGAAAGTGGCCTTGCAGCGCGGAGAAGATCGACGTCGAGATGAAGCTGACCAGCGAGACGTAGGGAATTCGCCAGTGGGTTGGGATCGCGAAGAAGGACAGGAAGGACGCCGGCACCCAGATGCACCAGTTTGCCTTAAGCGTGGTGAGCGCCTCCCGCTGGTACTTCTCCTGGACATAATCGATGCCTTCCCCACGTACCCAGGCATCGGTGGCATAAAAGATCGGCAGAAAGAGGAATGGCACGTGCACAAACTGATCGAGAAACATCTTGCACAAGGAGGCAGTAGGTGTGGACCCTGGAAATATCACTTCAAACAATCGGCAGTAGAGCACATACTGGCCAGCGCCCATCCAACAGCATCCGAAGATGGAGAAGGCTGTCAAGCGTCTTTGATCAATCTTGTGTATGCTACGCTTCTCAACTGTTGTCTGAACCTTGGCAGCACAGCAACCATATGAAAATAAGGACACAGCTCTTTGGTGTTGCCTACTTTTGTACGGGATCCTACAACCCCAAAGCATACAAGGGCACCACTCGGCCACCCAGGAACAAGCAGATCCGAGGCGGTCGTCTTGACCCAGCCAGCAATACATGCTCCAGCAAAGGGCCATCGCAGCAGCACCCGGGACAGCTGCGCATGCATTCCGAGCACACTGTGTACGTGAGGCGTGAAAGGATGAATCCTACTACACACCAGAATCTGGATTCAGGGTCTTCGACAAGGACGTTGAGGGTTTAAAGGAAGCCTTGAACTGAACCATAACTTGTACAACGTATCTTTAACAACCTTCTGCTCAGAATGCAAGGCCGCTTGGTGTTGCTTTCTGTCCTACTTAAGGGTTTCTCTGGTCTCAAGAAAGCTATTGGGTGTAGGCTTCTGCGTTTAGGGTTTAGAGGCGGCAGTGCGTGTACAGGGACTCTATAGACAGCACAATATAGGGGATTGAAGAAAAACAAGTTAGGGTCTCTGGAGTCCAGTGCTTCACAAACAGCCGATTCAGGTCAAAAAGGCACCAGCAGCTAGAGATCTGAGGGTTTAGGGCTTAGGGTGTACGGGTGTACGGGCGTAGGTGTTTAGGGCTTAGGGGTTTAGGGCTTTAGGGCATGAACCTCCCTCAAAGGGAGCCCCGTGGATCGCACAGGGCTCAGGGTTCAGGGGTTTAGGGGTTTAGGGGTTCAGGGTTCACGGGCTCAGAGGTTCAGGGGTTTAGTAATTAGGGGTTTAGGGGTTTAGGGGTTAGGGGTTTAGGGTTCAGGGGTTCAGGGGTTTAGGGGCTTAGGGTTTTGGGCTCTGGGTTGGCGAGTGGGGGCTTTGGGGATGCTGGCTGAAGCTAGAGACCAAGCTGATTCGAGCTTCGATAACCCTAACATCCCTCAACCCTCAAGTTCACCCTGGAGCCCTAAACCCTAAACCCTAAACCCTAAACCCCAAACCCTAAACCCTAAACCCTAAACCCTAACCCTAAACCCTAAACCCTAAACCCTAAACCCTAAACCCTCCTCAACCCTCAACCTCAACCCTAAACCCTAAACCCTAAGTCCCAAGAGCCCCGAGCTCTAAAGCCAAGAACCTTAGAACTGAAACGAAGAGTTGCTAAAACCCCAAACCCTGAGCGCCCGCCGTACAGCCCTGAGCCCTAAACGCCCCCAAAGAGAAGCCATCAAGCTCAGAAAGCTTAGGGCCGTCTAAACTCCCTTGACCCCAAAACCCCTAAAAGGGCTTAGGGTTTCAGGGTGTCGGGCTTAGGACAAACCCCTTAACCCTAAACCCTAAACTCCAAACCCTAAACTCCAAACCCTAAACCCTAAACCCTAAACCCTAAACCCGAAACCCTAGTCCCTAAACCCTAAACCCTAAACTTTCAAGCCCCCAAAACCACGACAGTCCCTCCAAGTTCTGGGCCCAGGCTGCGAGCGAAGCGGCCACAGCCATGGCTAAGGGAGCCTAATATAGGGGCCTGAAAAGTTAGAATAGGGTTTAGGGTTTAGGGTTTAGGGTTTAGGGTTTAGGGTTTGGGGTTTGGGGTTTGGGGTTTGGGGTTTGGGGTTTGGGGTTTGGGGTTTGGGGTTTGGGGTTTGGGGTTTTGGGGTTTGGGGTGTGGGGTTTGGGGTTTGGGGTTTGGGGTTTGGGGTTTGGGGTTTGGGGTTTGGGGTTTGGCGTTTGGGGTTTGGGGTTTGGGGTTTGGGGTTTGGGGTTTAGGGTTTAGGGGCTTACAAAGGGACCATCACGGAATACGACTAGCAATTATTCCGACCCCTGTATCAGTCTACTACAGGTTCCGCAAACCCGAATTTTAGGGTTTGGGCTTGAGCATGCTCAGGGTCACAAGCCCCAAGCCCTTAAAACCCTTAAGCGTTCACCTAGAAGCTGCGAGGTTGTTTTTCCCTCTCGGGGGGCTTTAGGGTTTTTCGGTTCAGGGTTTCAGATCTGCAGATGTAGGGTTTAGGGTTTAGGGTTCAGGGGGGCGGCTCTGGAGAGGAGTGTGCAGGATTTACTTGGTCAAGGGTTGTTATAGGATTGGGATGATTCCCTTTGTTAGAGTTCTAAACGACCAACTACCTACTGGGGGGGTAGATACTACCAGGGTAGCCAAGTTAGGGATGTTAAAGGTTCAGGGTTTAGGGTTTAGGGTTTAGGGTTTAGGGTTTAGGGTGTAGGGTTTAGGATTTAGGGTTTAGGGCTTTGGGTTCAGCCGCAATGGCCTGAAAGACTGCTCGGGCATCTGCAAGCTGCACATGGAGCAAGCGAGCAGCTAGAAGAACATCGGCTTTGTTGGGTTTAGGGTTTAGGGTTTAGAGTTTAGGGTTTAGGGTTTAGGGTTTAGGGTTTAGGGTTTAGGGTTTAGGGTTTAGGGTCATTGCTGGGGGGAACCCGAGGCTGCGTTAGGAGCCTCCCTGGCTATGTGCCCATCTGGCAGGCAGCAAGACCCTCCTTTTTTGGGCGCGAGCGCAGATAGATCCCCAGGGCCCGACACAACTTGTGAGTCTAGGGTTTTGGTCGTGCGTCTTGGGGACCTGCTATATACCCCAAGCCGTACTAAACCCTAAACCCTAAACCCTAAGCCCTAAGCCCTAAGCCCTAAGCCCTAAGCCCTAAACCCTAAACCCTAAACCCTTAACTTAGGGTGTACCGGTGTAAGGGACCTCGGGACGCTGTCTTGTGGTCGACACTACAGTCAGCCTGTGCTGGACCAGAGCTCGACCTCGTCATTCTCTGTAAGGGGAGTTTAGGGTGTAGGGTTTAGGGTTTAGGGTCTCGGGTTTAGGGTTTAGGGTTTAGGGTTTAGGGTTTAGGGAGTCGGGTTTGGTTTAGGGTTTAGGGTTTAGGGTTTAGGGTTTAGGGTGTAGGGTGTAGGGTGTAGGGTGTAGGGTGTAGGGTGTAGGGTGTAGGGTGTAGGGTGTAGGGTGTAGGGTGTAGGGTGTAGGGTGTAGCGTTTCGGGCTTAGGAGTACCAGAGAAACCTTCGATTAGACAGGGAGTCCTGCAGGTGCCAAAGTCACAGAGAAACCCTACAGGGTGGGGCCCCCTAGTTATAAGTAGAGTTATAAGGGCCCTAAACCCTAAACCCAAACCCTAAACCCTAAACCCTAAACCCTAAACCCTAAACCCTAAATTGGGTTATAAGGACCCTAAGTTAGGTTATAAGTCCCTTAACTACAGTTAGTATAGTAAGGGGGCCCCACCCTGTAGAAGCAAGCCTGGGCATCCCATTCTTGGCTTGACTACTGGGACGTATACGGAAACCCTTAGCCCCCTAAACCCTTAGCCCCCTAAACCCTAAACCCTAAACCCTAAACCCTAAACCCTAAACCCTAAACCTCAAAAACCCTTTAAACCGGGAATTGGGAATGAAGGCCCAGTTGAGGTTCTAGTGCATGACAAGCTCAGCCCTGTGAACTGAACTCCAATACCACATGCGATGCCAAATCTTCGTTTTTTTCACCCGAAGGTGCAGGGCTAACTTAGGGCTCAAGGTTTAGGGTTGCAGTGTTTAGCTTATGGTTGAATTCTCAAGAGGCTTATGTGGGGGTTTACGAAGATAAGGTACCCCCAACAGAGTCCGCACATCGTAGGGTTCCCTTCTAATAAGGGGCCCAATAAGGTACCCCCCCTAATTTCGTAAAACCTCCCATGTAGACTTCAGTCTTAAGTATCTATCTGCCTTACCCTCCCGCAGAGCCCGAGGGAGCACTGGATCCGCGGGCTCTCTCATGGCAACCTACCGGTTGAAGGCCGCCCGGTAGCCTCCGAAGCGTTGCAGAGTCGGGGTTTGAGGTGAAGCTTTTAGAGCTCGTGGGTTCAGGATTTCAGTGTTCAAGGTTTATGGGGCTTTACTGGTAGGGTTTAGGGTTCAGGGTTTTAGGGTCCAGGGCTGGGGTTTGTTTAGCTTGGGTTTAGGAGACAAAGCCTAAGGGCTTCAGGTAAGGGGCGCAAAGGCGAACTTTCTGCAAGGAGCAGTAGGAGTTTGAGTGTTGGGTCCTACAACCTCAAGCCTAAACCCTAAAGAATCTTCTCCCATCTGGCGTGCTTGAGTTCATTGTTGCCCTTTGTTGCACCTCGCGAACAGATAACCACCAAAGTATCTACTACAGGAAGGTTAAGGTTTAGGCTAATTGAGTGTTTAGGGTTCAGGGCTCAGGGTATAGGTTCAAGTAAGCCCGGAAAATAGCAACTTGGCCCCAGAGACCCTCCTCTTCTACCCCCCCCCTGGTTCCTCGTGCCTTGAGGTTACTTCCGGGTGCAGGGTGTAGGCCTTTACTGCAACTGACTTTCCTGCATCTTCCTTAACTTAGGGTGCAATGCCATGATTGCCTGACGAACATCTTCAAAAACTGGAAACACAAGCCAACGCTTTCAGAGCTCCACCGCCCGAACTCCGAAAACTGGCAATGAAACCCTTAACTCTAAGCCCCAAACCCCAAACCGCAAATCCCAAACCCCAAACCCCAAACCCCAAACCCTAAACCCTAAACCCCAAACCCTAAACCCTAAACCCTAATAAGGTTTAGGGGCTTTTCGGTCCTTGCCTTGCTGCTGCATCTGCTGCTGCTGCATCATCTGCTGCTGCTGCATTTGCTGCATCTGCTGCGGAGTCATCTGCTGGCCTCCACTGGGGACAACCCCCTGCAAACCCTAAACCCTAAACCCTAAACCCTAAACCGTAAACTTCAAACCCTGAGCCCTAAGCTCCTATAGCCTTGTTTGTCGCTTTTTGTTGCTTGGGGCTTTTGCGCTTCATCCTTCGACGGTTTTGCAAGTTCTGCGGGGAAACCGCAATCTGAAGGGAAGCCCCGGCATAGTCTAATGGTAGGCATGCACGGGTTCGTTTGCTTGGGGTTTAGGGTTTCGGGCCTGGGCACAGCACTCTACATGAACTTCACTTCTACGAAGCAAGCGTCAGTAAGCGTAAATGCGTGTAAGCACAACTGTGTGCCTTGCTGCCTACGTTCCACTTCCACCACCATGAAAGTACTATGTTTGTTCGATGGCTTCCCATTTTTTGGGCTTCCATTGTTCTGTATGTATTCTATAACTATGTGTTGAAAAATATATAAACAACGATATATATATATATATACATATATATGGATATATCTATGTAGATACAGAAAGATAGACAGACTGATCGACAGATGTGAAGATATGCAAATATACACACAATACGCTGCAAGTGGCCCTTGGCGACGAAGAGGCGTCCGCAATCCCTCAAACACCCCAACAAATTCGGAGCTCAGGGGTTTAGGGTTTAGGGTTCAGGGTTTAGGGTTTGGAGCTTAGGGGTTAGGGTTTCGCTGTTAGGCTTCTTAGTGCTGCAAGGCTGAGAGCTACCTGACCCCTACGCACTACACCCAAAGGGTCTGGAAATTTCGGCTTCCAGAGGTTTTCAGTGTCTGGACACAGGGGTGGCTAAATCCCAGACTAGCAAGGCTTTACCACAAACTCCGTATGATTTATTGTGGCTACTACCACTGCCAGTACCACTTAAGCAGTCAGAGCATCGCACAGCGCGAATTGCTGGAGCCCCACAAACGCCCTGATCATCACCCATCGGGAAATTGGTGCGGCAACTTTGCTGCAGTGCCTGGTTTAGGGTTTAGGGTTTAGGGTTTAGGGTTTAGGGTTTAGGGTTTAGGGTTTAGGGTTTAGGGTTTAGGGTAAATCTGTGTCGTTCCGGCACTGCGCTCGAACTAGGAGAGCAGAGGCGCTGAGGTGACTTTGGGCACTGGAGGAGATCAGGTGGCCGAAGATGCTGCGGGCTGAGCCCGGTTGGACTCCCCTTGTAGAATATAGCGTCCCCTTTTTATGGTTTAGGGTTCAGGGTTTAGGGTTTAGGGTTTAGGGTTTAGGGTTTAGGGTTTAGGGTTTAGGGTTTAGGGTTTAGGGTTTAGGGTTTAGGGTTTAGGGTTAGGGTTTAGGGTTGAGGGTTGAGGCCCTGGTGACGATCCTCATTTCGGGCTGAGAGAGTCCGAAAAAAAAGCCCTGGACAGCTCCATTCAATCACGGTACCTTGGATGTTGGGCCTTCGGACATGGCCGACATCGAAGTTTAGGGTTTAGGGTTTAGGGTTTAGGATTTAGGGTTTAGGGTTTAGGGTTTAGGGTTTAGGGTTTAGGGTTTAGGGTTTAGGGTTTAGGACACTTCAGGATTCTCAAGGGCATCTTGAAGGGCAGCGTGCAGACCTTCGGTGAAGACCATGTCTGGCAATGGCATCACTTCGGAGAACGAGGCTCCGACCGGCAGGACCAACACTTTGGGTGCTTTGGGGTTTAGGGTTTAGGGTGTAGGGTTCAGGACCAGGTTGCAGGACAGGACCAGGTTGCAGGACATGGCTCAAAGCATGTTGCATGCGATCTTCGTGAGAGAGGCTTGACCGGCAACCACATCACGTCGCGCGACAACATCACGGGGGTCGCGGGCAGCGGGGGCAAGAAC